ATGCTTACCAGGCTTAGAAAAGGCCAAAATCTTAAACCACAATTTAAGTGGTTTAAATCAATTTAACAAAAGTTGATTTCGGACCCCGACTCGTTTGAACACTGGTTATCATCGTTTCCTAGGGTGGTTGGAATAGGAAACAGTGGCTAAAAGCTTTCTGTTTATTCTTGTCTTTCAAGAGAAGGGAGATAGAATTCGTATCATGAATTCGTATCATGAATTCTATGATTATTCAAGCTGGTCCTCTAATACCAAGCTTACTCTAAGCAGACATGGTTTTGTTCTCCCTAAATTTGCTTAAATGGACAAAAGAAGCCAAGACTTTTGAATCATTATGTGCCAATCATATTCCCCTTACTCTTAATAAACAACTCTCAATAAATCCCCTTTCCAGACTTAGGGTAGAGCTCCTTGACTTACTTTAAAAAAAATTCTTTGTCCATTTAAACACTCAATCATTACCTTATTTTTCAAAGGAAAAAAAAAGAGTAATTCTGGGAATCACTGTACGTACTGGTGATGCTAACCTTTTGCTGCCAACATATCAAATCAAAATTTCAGAATTCATACCTGAAGAGAGAACATATATTGCATTTAATGTGTAAAAGGGGCTCCAAAACTCTGGCATCCACAGGAGCAGGTCAAAAAAGTGAAGATGGTGGACTTGACCATACTATCAAAGTCCTCCTCCTTTTATATGTGCTGTCAATAGTTCATACCTGTACAAAGGGCAGGGCTCTGATCATGCAGTCATGTCCACCATCTCAACTTTTTCACCTACAAAGGCTATACCAGTGTTCACCTTTGCTTGCCACTAGCAACTGGAGAGGTCCTACCCGGTAAATGGCCATGACATTTATGCAACCTTAAGTCACATTGCAATGGAAGGGCAGCACTAGCATGTGTCTCTATGGGTGGGAAGCACCGAAACATGAAATTATTTTCCTGGAATCAAAGCACAACTGAAGAAAAGAAGATCCAGACTCTTCTATTTGAAGAAAAAGTAAGCTAATAACTGCCCATAGTTATTGCAGATAGATAGATAGATAGATAGATAGATAGATAGATAGATAGATAGATAAAGATAGACTGGATTGTCTCTGATACCATGGACTATTGTGCAAAACCCTTCCCTTTTTGTCCAAAATAGTATGAGTTCTTTTGGAGCGGAATAATCATCACCGAAGCTGCTTTTGTACTGATTCCATGCCATGACAATCCCTGCAAGCAGATCAGAGGTGTGGTCTGGTACATTTGTCCTGTGTCTTTTGTACCAGATGTAGATGTAGATGGAGGCAACATTAGGCAGCCATTAGAAAAGTTTTAGAGATCATTAAGCAAGAATTCTTGAGGGAATAGTCTTAAAGTCAGGAATACAGGTAGTCCTCAGTTAGTGACCACAACTGGGACCGGCAACTTGGTTGTTAAGTGAAGTGGTCACTAAGTGAAATCACAACTGTGCTTATGATCTTACTACAGCTTTCCTTTGTTTTACAGACCTGCAATGGTAGTAAATGCAAGGACTGGTCGCTAAGTTACTTTTTAATCATCATTGTAACTGTGAATGGTCATTAAACAAGTCAGTTGCTAAACGAGGGCTACCTGTACATTTTTTATTATTGTTGCCTTTGGTGCAGTCAAGACCTTTTAGGCCTTGAACTTAAAGAGTCTTGTTGGGCCTTCTTGAGACAGAGATCTTTCTCTCCATATAGTACAAATTTTATCTTCCCTCCCCTTAACTGAAAAATAAGAGTTACTCTGAAAAGATTCCCTTTGGTGACTTTGTTCGGTGAATGAAGCTTTTGCTATTCATTCATCAGAAAATGTTTCTCTAAGTTAACGATTGATATGCAAATCTGTCACCCTGGAAAGCTGTAATTATTTTCTTAACTCTAACAAATTTCAAACTTTTCATTCTCTCTTTCCTCTTGAGGCTCAAGTGATGTTTCAATGCCTCTTGGTGCCAAAGGCGGATCCAGACACTTCACAATTCTGTTTCTGATTGTTAGTTCTGATCGAATCGAAGAAGAGGGAAGGGAGAAAAAAAGAGAAAGGGATCATTAGACAGAGAGAAAGCGTAGAAGCATAATCTTTCTGATTCCATTGAGTTGTCTCTGCTTGCCCGGAAAAGAGGTTCTTGTCCTTGTGAACTAGTTATGTGAAGATATATGCAATGAACTGTGGATGGCAGAGTTTGGTTAGGGTGCCTTAATGAAGCATTCTCCAGTTTACACAGGAGCTAAGAGCCACCCCAACAACCCAAAAGTAAGTTCTGGCTTTTCGTTTCATTTACTTGAGGTCGAATTGTGATGTTTTTATCTGGATTAAGAAGTATTTTGCCAAATGCATTTTTGGAGAGCAAAATATCAGTCTTGAACACAGTGGCTGCTTTTCCTCCAAAATAATGTCTCAGGATTTACTGGGGTCAGCGGGTGCCATTAGTCTCTACCTGCATTATGAAAATGTGCCTCAGAAAAGGGTTAGAGCAGACTCCCATGTGTGCAAAAATGGAAGGATATATAAATACCCACTGCTGAAGAAGTGATACTGAAACTAATGGAATTGGCTGAGATGGCGAAACTTTGCTCAAAGACAGGGCACTGTCTGACTTTGTCTCTAATTGGGACCACTCTTAGACTTTTTGCTTG